TCTGGCTGCCAGTCAGAAGGGAATATCTGACCAGTTGCCTCACACTTGCTTTTATGCCCTTGTGACCCAAAATGACACATAAAGGTTGCATAGTTTGAAGAAAAGGAGACATTCTGCCATGGAAACCAGTCATTTATTAGTGATTAATGCTTTGCCATGTTTCAAAAAAATGCTGCAGCTTAATTTCATGTTTCATTTTTTTGGAAGTCAATTCCGTGTTGTAGATTTGCTTGTGATCCAGAAAAGTTGCAAGAAAAATCTCAGCTTTCCAGAGGAATTTGGGTTGTGAGTGACTTTGATTTCGGGTTCATCCAATTTGTGCTCCTATGTGTGAAACAGGAGCTCTAACATGGAACCTGAAGGAACTATTTGGGAGAGGAATGAGTGCATTAAGGTGCCCTGAAGCCCTAAATGAAATTGGGCTTTGTTGTTTTGGTTTGGTTTTGGTTTTGTGGGTTTTTTTAAAAGTAGCCTAGCTGTTACGATTTTTTTAAAGCAAATCAATTTTCTGTAATAAGAGTATGTAAGACAAATTAGACATACATATGATGAGCAGAGTAAAACTAGCTCAGCTTCTAATACTAATATTGACACATTTGAGGTATAGCTGTGCCTGGGCTTTATTTAGGGATACCACTAAATTTCAGAGTGCTGTCTTGATGAAGCTATGCTGTCAGATAAGGTACCGCTATACAGCACTGCCTTCACCTTGTAGACATACCTGCTGCTTCGTATTTGACACTGAATAAGCACTGGCTTTGACATTCTTGTCAAAGAAACAAGTGAACCTACCAGGTCATGAAGATTGAATAACCTTTTGTCACTAGAGATGTGGTCTCTTCAGGTCAGAGTGTTTGCAGCATGTTGGCAGGCTTGTGCAGAAGAACCCATGCATAAACTGGAGAATAGCAGCTTTCACAGATGAAGTTTCCTATACGAAATACTGCATGAACTGACTTCCAGGAAAGGATAAAAATAAACTCAAAATTTCACTGCCTAAATAGTCTTCTAAACTTTTGTAATGCAAAATTAACCTGCTTAAAATTCTGGCAACTTATTTAAAGGTTAAGCAACATATAATTTCTTTATTCAAATGAAAATAAATTGTTTTTATCAGTCATCTTTCCCACTGCTGTTTTAATGAAATGTAAGCAATTAGGAGAAGCCTCTGCGTAAGCGACTGAAACCTGTTTGTTGTCAAGATGATAAACTAGTTTTTTATGACCATCACCATTCCTGTGGGTATAGAAAAGGATCTTTCTTTCCTTCAGTTTATTCAGTTCAGTTTTATGACTGAGCTCATTTACAATTAAGCAAAGGAAAGCAAGAAAAGCTTGTATTTAATTAGAAATTAAGGTGTCTTGCTTCCTGTTTGTTTGTAATGGTTACCAGTTCTTCAGTAAAATAGCTAAAATATATACTCTTTCAAGTGTGTTATTTATAAAACATTTTTGTTTGTGATTTGTTACATCTTCACAGTTATCTAAATGACTGACTTACATCAGTCTGCTCTACAGACTGTACTGTAAATTTACAAGTATAAGCCAGGGCAATGATTCCATATGTAGACAAGAGAAATAGAGGCATTTTATAGCCTGGACCCATTTCTGCCTTGGTTTTATTTGTTTCTTTCTAATACTAGGTAAGGTGTGTTAATCTTGTTTTCTAAAGCAGTACATACTAATTTTAAAAAGTAGAATTATCGTCCGTTCCTCTTATGTGTTTGAGTTCCCTAAAGGGGGAAAACCGAAACTCTGAGTGCAACAAGCTAACATCCAGGTCTTTGCTTGGATAATTGTTATTAATACATTAAAAAGGTATAAAAATACTTCTTGTTTCTATAAGGATAGGGAGACCTTGTTTGTGGCATACTTCATCGTCATCGTTAGTAGTAGTAGTAGTAGTATTGTAGCGGCTGCATATATTTAACTGTTATGCATGTTAGATTTCGAGATTTGTAGGTAGAAATATTTTGCAGGTTTTGTTGTGAACACGAGATGATTGTATTTGAGCTGAAAACCTTGTATTTCCAATTTGTATTTGAAATGTTACCGGTCGCATTATGCAAAATTAGAGGAGAATCTTGCTTACTGTGGGGTAAATGCCCATTTGCCCTGCTTAGTGATTGTAAGAAGTACTTTAAAAAAGAAAAAGAGAAAAAAAAAACCTCTTGGAAGTCTGACTTTAACCTCATGCTCCCTACTAAATGTCCTATATTGTCCTGTTTTAATTTCCTAAGTGCAGTATCTTGCAGTGATTCTTAGTGTGCTCTCAGGGTGTGAAATTTCCTGCCATATATTTATTGAAACAAAATGGTTAGCAGAACCTGAAAATAGCTTATAAGGTAATGAAATAATACTGTCACTTAAATGTTTATAATATTCACTGCTTAAATAGGTTTAACCCCTCATGTCTCGAGAGAGATTTGCCTCATCTGCATTTGTTTGGGAAGAAATTTCCCTCTAAGGACATCTTATATTGTGTCCATTGTGGTGGATTTATCCGCTTCTCTGATTCATCTGGTACGGGCATTTGACGGAGATGGGGACTGTACAGTGGGACCGTAAAGTAGATGACAAATTATTTCTAACATAAGATGGAGGTGGAATTAAGGTCACTTTAGCTTTTCACATGTTTGGCCAAACTCTGCATGTTGAGTTTGCCTTTCAAAAATGGTGAGTTCTGTTTGTAGGCATTCAGGGTGCTGCTCCTTAATGTTTGGGAGCTGTGCGGTGTATCTCTCCATGTTCAGAGGAATGGACTTTTTTATATTTAAGTAGGCAAATGTCGAGGAGAAGTGTAGAAGTCATCAGTGGGCCATGTCAGTGATTCAGTAGGTGGCACTCTTTCTCTGCAATTACCGTCCTGGTAAAGTATTTCTAGGAACGATTTGGTGAGAGAGACGTTTGTTGAATGTGACATAAAATACATTTCGATAACTTGATCGTTGGAGCTCTTATAATGCATTTTCCAGGGTTATGAGGTTGTTAACCTTGCTTGTAATGTGTAATTGCATTTTGTCTACTGCAATTCCTCTCGTAATTCCGGTAGGATGCGATAGCATTCTGCACTTTTTGCCTTAAGCTGATTTAGAGATGTGCTGTGGAAAGAGGAGGTGCTGTTTTGTCAGAGATGGATTAAGTGTTTCGTACTATTTTTAGAGCTTTTGCGTTAAGTCTACGTAAAATGTTGCAGTAGAAATGTTGAAGGGGCTCTCCAGCAGTGCCTATTGTGGGAAACTAGTACTGCTGACAAAAGCAAGAAGCTGGCAGCAATTTTAGAAGTGTGATGGGATTTTAATAAGAAGAATTAGCACGTGTATAGTGTTCTTTGAAAATGCGGTTTCGTTTTCTGAATACTTAAAATACATTTCTTTTAGGAGGTAGGCAAGGATAAGGATGCTGAATTGGCAAGTTGTTTTAAACTTGGGTATAATTAAGCTTGAAATGCTGAAAAAATAGATGTCTCTCTTTTTTAAAAAATAAAAAAGTGTAAAAAATACTGGCTTGAAAAACATTACATTTTTCCAGGGAAGCTATATAAAATGCTGAGCAGTGTCTTAGGAAGTTGCATTTATCTAATAGGGGATAATCTTTCTTTTGTAAAGTCTTTCGGTGTTGTGAAATATAACTAGGTTTACTCTGTACGCTAAAGACATTTGGCCATGTTTATGAGTTTTTTTAAATATTTCCATTCCTCATTTTTCTCTCATTGTGATAAAATCAACAGTTAAAACACAACTCTACAATAGTAGGAGTTTAAATAGATGTCTTAATTTTTGTGACATTCATGAGGTGCAAAAGTGCTGTGGCTTTTTTCATATTCCACCGTTCATATTCATAAAATGTCCATTTCAAAGAAAGTTACTTTGTGGTTTTAATACACTATACATACTTTTAAATTGTCACCAGGTGCATTTGCATGAGGTATGTGGACATAATGTCTTGAAATGAAACACTTAAGTGTGTTGAAGATTTACTGTATGTTTGGAATGCTTGTCTGATTAACCCTTCCCTAGTCCTTTTATTTATAAGTGTCCTTTAACATGGACTTGTGTTTTTATAGTCTTTCTCACGCTATTAAGTCACAATGACCTAATTATGACAGATACATTAAAGGAAAGCATCTATGTTGGGACTCAGTGCACACGTGTTTTTAATTAAGTAGAATATGAAGGTTGATAGCGTTATGCCAATAGTTGCTGTATCGAACAGTAAGTAGTATGTGACAGTCCACTCTAAAATGGGGAGCTACCTTTTTTCACGGAAAATATTTTAAATGTTATTACTGGTCAGTTCAGAGACTTGAAAGAGTTAAGACTTTAATGTGATGAGCTGTATGAAAGTAGTTTGAGGATACCTTACATGCTGACTGGCGTGAGGAGACAAGTTTGCCTAGGTCGAAAGATAAAATAGAAGGGCTTTCATTTATGGCATTTCTGGTAATGCTCTGTTGGAGGGGAGGGAATCCTTACGGAAAAGTAGGCAGAAAGGTATTTGGTGACACTGGGCTTATGTCCATGTTTTGTAGACTTAGGTCACTCTGTTCTGATTTCAGGTTCACATCAGAATATCCTCCTTGTGACTACACTTGACCTTAGCGGGCCTAGAATGGCTAATTCCAAATAGAATGAGCCCCTGTTTTTAGAATGCACATAAGGAAATGTACATAATGACATATAACTTCATCTAGGTGTACTCTGGCAGCTTCATCTTCCTACATAATCCATGTTTGATTGAGTTAGTTGTACATCTTTAAAAATCCGGTTTGCATTAGAAACAGCCTGTGAAGTTAATGCAACCTTCTACTGACAGTCTGCTTGACTTACCATTTACTTATCTTCATTAATATATATTGGCTAGAAATATATTGTTCGATGTGCTATGTTTGACTTTAAAGCAAAAGCTGATTTCTGTATTAAAACTCTTAGGCTGAACAGTAGTTTCACTTTTTCATAGTCCAATTAAGTTGTTTTATGGCAATATTATTCTTCCTTATAGTTAACACAAGAAGAATGTAGGGGTACACTATACAAATATAGAACTGAAGAGCTGGATATTGATGTAAGTCACTTGCATTTCTTGTTCCTTGGAAATGTTGGTATTTGTCTCTTTATTTTGATAGTAATTTCCCCCTTGCCTTTTGGGTTTGAAATGCACTTCGTATAGGTGATTACCCACAGAAATTGCTTTGTGAAATTGAGGGGCATAAAGTTCTTTTTGTAATAAGCTTCTAACTTGCAGGAAGTATTACATTTTAGGCTGAACTTTGAAGTGTCATATCTGTTCAAAGGTGAATTGCTTCTAGAAAGGAATTAATTATTTTAGAAGGAAAAAGCTCTGTAGTTGTAGTTCAGTTATAAAAGCATGAGAGATGTAATTTCTCAGGAAATATGACCAATACTCCAAAACTGAAATTTGGCATGGGTGGTTACCATTCAGAGTGTTGGGTTGCTAATTATTAAAGAAAAGGGTCTTGGGTGTTTAAAGTCAGTTTTAAAATTGGTGGTGAAAAAGACGCACATATAGTCATATGGTATAGGCATACATACACACGTCTAGTCATTCTTGCACAATGCAAACAAGAGTAGAGACACTGATTTAAGGGATGTTATTTTAAGAGTAAAAAAAAAAAAGCAGGCTTCCAGAGCAGCACAAAATGAACGAAAAATGTTGTTCAAATAGAAAAGTAAACTGGTTCAAAGTGGTTAGAGTGCACTGAACAGTTATTTGCTCAGACTGGAGCAGGAGTGGAACAGTTTTAGTCAGAGCTGAGCCTTGATCGGAGGTGTACAGAGAGGAACATGGATGGTATTAGTAATTAACTATTAAAAACCTGAAATAAACCATGGGAAAGACTGTGAATATGTGCAATAGTCTTTATAATACTGAGGAATATGTAAATTAAAATGGTATTTAATACCTGTTATTAAGTTGTAAAGATTTAGCTGTAGAATCATAAATTACAGGTTTTTGAGCCATGCTGTTTCAAGTTGTAATAACACTTATTTCGTAGAATCTTAAGAGGGTTTATTAAGGTTAATGTGAAAATACAACACTGATACCTTCAGAGTTTTAGAATTCATATTTTGTGATGATAAACTTTTATAGAGATTTTTGTAATGGTTTGGTCAAGTTATATTTTGATTGCTGAAGATGTTAAAAATGAAATGCTAATTGCGATCATTTTCTGTTGCATACTAGGCTAAACTTAGCCGTTTATGTGAACAAGATAAAGTTGTACAAGCACTGGAGGAGAAGCTTCAACAGCTACACAAGGAGAAAGTAGGACAATTGTATTTATTACCTAAAGTGGATGTTATTTTACATGCTTATTATCAGAACGTTGGTAACTGAAATAAAATGAAAATCAGCCCAATGATGCAGAACATTAAAAATAATTCTTTTTATTATAATAGTACACGCTTGAGCAAGCATTGCTATCAGCAAGTCAGGAGATAGAAATGAACGCAGATAATCCCGCAGCCATACAAAATGTAGTCTTACAGAGAGATGACTTGCAGAACGGACTACTTAGCACTTGTCGAGAAGTATCACGAGCTACTGCAGTAAGTAATACGTTCTTGCCAGTAAAACTCAATGAAGTGTTGAACGGTTACCTTCATGTTCGTGTTCTTAATTGGGTTGTCTTTGGTTGTTTTTCATTACATTCCAGCAAAACTCAGTTGTCTTTTACTTGCTTGTATCTTCATCAAAGGCAGCTGGGAAGTGATTTTTTCAGTATATTCATGGAGTAGTCTTTCTTTAATTTATTTTTTTTTGGCGAGGAATGAGTGCATACTGATTTTAACTGGTGTGGCAGTTTTCATCTTTATAATATGAAAAATTGATTACAGAAGAAGTAAATAATACAAGTAAGCTATTTTATGTGATGGAAAAGTAGTAGCAAGCACAAGCTTTATCAGATATTTGATCAGATAGGTGGCTTTAAGCAAAAGCAGCTGCAGGATGAAAAGAAGAAAAGATTATACTGTCATGGTCTCACTTAATAGTGGGCTATTATATTTAAAAGATCTTTCAAGTTATGCACTTTCAAAAACCTTAAAAAAAAAAAGAAAACCTGGAAAGGTAAGGAAGGAAATGGCTATTTACTGTCCTTTTCCACTTCATGATTGTTTCTACACTGAAATGACAGAGCAAAGACTCATTTTTGCTTATTACATATATATCCAAAAAGGTATTTCAGTGTCAAATCCAAGTGATTTGCTGTGGTGAAATTGAAGTAGGTCCTGAAGTAGTGGTTTTAGTCTGAACGTTAGACTGTGTTGTAAAAGGAATTGGTTGGACAGGGAAAAGAGAATCAGGGGAAAGGAAATCCTCAAGATATACTTTCCCTCATTAACTTTTTAATCTATGCTAAATTGAGTAAATTGTTTCATGTAGTCTTAAAAAGTGAGATGGAAGAGCTGACCTCAAAGGAGATTTTCTTTTTGCACCTTCTCCCTTCTGGTGTTTGTAGTTTCGCATGTGTAAAATAATGGTGCGTTAGCAAGCCTGGGGCATTCGCTGGTAACCTTACAGGCAGGGTTGGATGACTTATATTTGTCTTGCATAATACATGGCATATACATGCACATGCTGTGCACTCCCACGTATGTATTCTGTGTGATAAAAGAGACAAATTTGCATCCATTTTTGTGGGTTTTCTGCCTCAGTGGAAGGACAGCTTAAGACATGCATGCCTGCTGACTATAAAGACATATTCTGAAGATTTTGCCCTTGCCTTTTTTGTTTGTAAAAAGACAAAATGCTGTTTGTTTGAATTCCATTCAGTATCATTAGAAAATCAAAAAGCTGTTTAAACATTGTGTTCTCTAAAATACATATTTATTTATTGCTGATATCTATTTATGCATTACTTCCTGAAGTTTCACGCCACTGAGTAAAGAAAAATAAACATACTTTTTTTTTTTTTTTGGCTTGAATGTGCATCTGTAATTCTTTACTTTTCTAACATACTCAGGAACTGGAAAGAGCTTGGAGAGAATATGATAAATTGGAGTATGATGTAACTGTAACAAGGAACCATATGCAGGAGCAACTCGATCGGCTTGGAGAAATTCAGGTGTGGCATAGGTCTTAAAGTACATTTAAGCAACTTTCATTTTCTATGATTTTGATTACAAACTACACGCATGAAAAAAGGGGCCATGTGGTGCATTAACTTACAAAGTACAAAAAGAAATTGAAAGTTGTAAGCTCTGAGGAGGTCTTCAGCTTTTCCTATGGTGGTTTTTTTTTTTCTTGGGGAAGCTACAGCGCTGGTTGTCCTGTGTCTGGAAGCCACCTCTTTCTGTTTCAGTGACAGTGTCCAAAACAGCGTAGTTTTCTCAGACCTTAATTGCTATGACAGTCATATTAAGTCTTCACACAAATCCTTCCATTTAACTGAATATTTTAAAATGTAATTAAGTCATTCTTTCAAAACAAATTATAGCAAAAAATATTCTAAGTGTTGCTTCAGGTCTTACGTATGAAGAGTTTTGATGTGTATCTTACTAGCTCGCTGTGCTGTGGAGGATGGGACAGTTAGTATAAGTTCTGAATTTCTAAGGAGATATTTCTGTGAGAGAGAGAGAGACACACACACACGCATCTGCATACATTATCTGCAATAGGCAGATGGGTGTGGTCCATGCTGGGAGGCATTAAAGGCTGTTTGCTCCAGGGATTGATTTTCTATGCAGCTATAAAAGGGAGATTACAAGGAAGCCCAAGAGCTGAGAAATTTGTGTCATGCAGTCCAAAGCATACATGGCTGTGAATGCAAATAGGCCCACAGTTTGTGTGCTAGTATGCAAATGCCACGTTCATCTCCACCTATTTTAGGGTTGGAACTGATGATTCTTTTTCTCTTGTTGCATGTAGGTTCTCCTGTGCAAAGCTTGCTTGGATTTTCTTTGGAGGCAGTAAATACAATTCTGTTCTTAAGTGGAGTTTGAACTAGCAAACTGCTGTCAAAATAATTGACACATTATTAAATTACTTAATCTTGCACTTTTGAGTGTTGCATTTTTATGGGAGAGTGTCTGTCATTACTGCATTTTATTTTCCTTCATTGGGAAACGATACGCAGTGTAGTCTAAAGAAAGAAACAGGTTTTCTGTTTTTTTCTGCTTGCAATGTATTCTAATTTATCGCCCATATATGCTGTTTATTTACTGGCAGACTGAGTCAGCAGGGATACAGCGTGCTCAGCTTCAGAAGGAACTGTGGAGAATTCAAGATGTCATGGAGGGTTTAAGTAAACATAAACAGCAAAGAAGCTCTTCAGAGGCAGGTAAACTGATTGTTTTTATCTTATAGGAAGTGAGATGGGATCATATATGGGATCATATACATTTTTAAAGGATAAGTTGCTTCTGTATGTTTGAAAAAAAATGGTGCAATTGCTGAAAAAAGAAGAAAGCAATCATGTTTTTTAAGTTGATGCTATGCGTATTTGTTTGATAGCAACAGGTTATAGTTCCTATTTTAGAAACTATTTATTGACAACAATTTTTCTCTTTCTTTCTATGCCTTTCCCCCCCACCCCTCCCAATAGGTATCATGGGATCAAGGACATTTTCAGCTATTAAATATAAAAATGAGGTATGGTTTTAGTATATTTACCATTTTAGCATCAGTGAATTTCTAATATATAGATAATAAAAATGAGCATTATTATAATTGTTTTAAGGATGTCTGAAGTAGCTATTCAGTATGCTTCTGTGAAAATGTTGCTTTATGAATTAGTTTTAAAGAGAGATATCTCCACTAGTAATTCTAACACTTTAATTTGTTCTGTGTCTTTATACTCTCACCAGTATGTTTCTCTTTTCTATTTCTCACCTTTTCCTCTCCCTAGACTCTTACCCGAGAAATATAAACCCTGATTTATGGATTTGTTTTCTACCCACCGCACTTTTCATGGGAAGAAATACATTGCTTTATATGTCTATTCACATATTGAGCCTGGTTCTCAGATGGCCAGAGCACCCACAAGAACAGCTGAAACTGTGGGAGCTCCCAAATGTTCAATTCCTCTGAAAATCTGGCTAAAAGTTACAGTTTTAAAGGGACATTGTCGTGGTTGTCTAAAGTTTATGCAACATACATCTGGCTTACAGAACTTGCTAAAAGTCTAATTTGTATACAAATCTTTAAAAAGATATTGAATTTAATTTTTAAAAGGATGATTCAGAGTTCATACATGTTTAACAAAGTGCAGGTGTTAGAACTGAAAATCTTCATCAGCTGAATAATGAAACTATTGAAGTATCTCATCCTTGGTGGTAGTAATAAAATAAAAAGCAAACAAAAAAAAAACCACAAAGAAACTAAAAAAAAAAAAAAGGCCAAGACAGTTTTATTTTCTTTAAGTGTGACGTTGTCCCTTTAATTTCAAAATCTATAGCTGGTGTAGCTATGGTAATATATTTTTCTTTTTAAGTTATAAATAACTGTAACAGGTGTGCACATCTAAATAAGGTGACTATTCTACAATCTTTAGGAAGAGGAAGTAGTCCCACCTCGTCCTCCACTCCCTCGGTCCTATGACTTTACAGAGCATCCTCCCATAATCCCCCCTCTGCCCAGTGATAGCAGCTCCTTGCTCTGTTATAGCAGGGGCCCTGTACACCTGCCAGAAGAAAAGAAGATTCACCAAGTTCAAGGATATCAGAGAAATGGATCTTACTGTGTAAGTGGCTTAAACTGCCACATTGTTCTTGAAGCATCCCCCTTCCTTTGCACAGTCACAATTTTTATTTTGTCATCTGGCTACTTTTGTGTGATGTTTTTACTTTTGGCTACTTAGATTTATTTATAGCTCCATCATTGGCTCTTCACATTTGCCTGTCATATATTCTGTGCATATATAAAATGTCTTAAGACTTACATGCCTGCATCTGAGTAAATTTCAGAAAATTAAATTCTTCTGCTCGCAAGTTGTTAAAAAACTCTAGGCTCAGAATCAGGTTTTGCTGAAGCCTGAGGCAAATTCGTTTCCTGAAGATCATTTAAAAGAAAAGAAACAAAAACCAAAAACCTCCGCATTTTTATGGCATTTTTTTTTCTTTAATTTCTGAAAGTCTGCAAAAGTTTTTTCTCAAATTAACTACAAAGAAATACTGCTGCAATAGCACTTGAACAATGAAACATTGTCTTAAAGTGAGAGCAGAGTCATCACAAAATAACTGTTTTGAGTCTTAAGACATAAATGCGTGTACAAAAATGCCTGTTTATTTACCTCATAACTTGTTGTTCCTCAGGGTCCTGATTATAGGCTTTATAAGAGTGAACCGGAGTTAACTACAGTAGCAGAAGTGGATGAGTCTAATGGTGAAGAAAAAACAGAACAAATTTCAGAATCAGAATCTTCAGCTAAAGGTTTGTCCCCAGGCGTTTTACAACCTTTCAGCCTTTTTCACAAGAAACACAAAGCTTTAACTGTGTTATAGAAGGTATCTTGTCCTTCATATTTTTGTAGCCTCCGCATTTCTTAATGTGATGAAGCAGCTTCCACGATAAAATAATGATTTAATTATATGACGAGAAAGATTTCAGTCAATTACACTGCAGAAAAATCAAACATTACACTCACCAACAACCCTGAAATCCTTATTGACACCATGTCTAATCACATCACTCACATTCCCCACACACCATTCCCTTGAACAATTACCCATTTTATGTTCTTGCCCTTGAACAATTATTCAGTTTTTGAATCAAGCTCCCGATGTTATGTCACTGGAACGTCCAAAAAGGCAGCACCACAGAATTTTCAGGCTCTCATAAGGCAGGGAAACAATGTCTTTTTCTTTTTTTAATCTTGTAATTGTTGAATTGCCTTCTGTCCTCTGATATAATAGGAATAATGATCATGACCTTGGAGTGTACAGACAATAAAGGTCTTTGCAATTGCTAAATGCTTTAGATTCTTCTCTTCATCTCGCTTCCATAAAAGCTGCTAATTGCTTGGTAGAGTCTTTTACCAGGAAGTGCTTCTCAATTCTGTTTGTTAAAACACACAGAATAGTTTGTTAAAGGTGACTTCAGGAAAAGCATTTTGAGCACCTCCCAAAAACCATGTTAAGAGCTTTTAGAAAAAGTAACTAAACTTATCCATTTTTTTACCTTAACGGTTGATGTTTCCAGTGCCAGCAAGATTCACTGCCTTCTGTTCTGGTAGTTTGACTAAGCACACACACAGCAGGCTGGTGCAACAGTACCAGAATTTGACCAAGAACTATGATTGTATAAGGATATTATGGTAGAATGGTAATGGAGCTTTTTAAAACTAAGGTTAGCATACAGTCTGAGTGTAAACAATGTGAATGGACCTATGATATAATTAAGCTTGCACTTACCAGACAATTAGTCAATTCATAGAATCATAGAATGGTTTAGGTTGGAAACGACCTTGAAGACCATCGAGTTCCAACCCCCCTCCCATGGGGAGGGACACCTCCCACTAGACCAGGTTGCCCAAGGCCCCATCCAGGCTGGATGAACACCTCCAGGGATGGGGCATCCACAGCTTCCCTGGGCAACCTGTTCCAGTGCCTTACCACCCTCAAAGTGAAAATTTTCTTCTATGGTATTTACTGAGGTATAATGTTCACTTAAGATAGATATTAAATATCTTTTAACTTAGTGGTGAAAAGTGCAAGGTTTACCTGACATTTACTAGTCATCAGCCACCTAAATTAAGGTATTTGCCTTTCTCACAACATACCTAGGTTTTATTGACCTGTGGTGTTACAGATTGTTTCTAGTAATTTATGGCAAGAAGGAAAGTAGTAGTCAAGGACGATGTAAGAAAGCCTGCTGATGATTATATAAAGCAAACCAATACTTTTTGAGCACCCCAATCTGCTTTCTGTCTTCTTTTGTGAAGACAGAAGTAGTTTTATTATGTCCGTTTGTAGAAAAATGGTTCTCAGTAAGAGGAAGCGATAATGCAAATTCTTCTAATATAAAATAATATTTGGGAATGGGGAAGAGAATAGTTGCTGTGGTAGCAAGCAGCAAGAGGCTTTTTATCTTCTTAAAAAACAGTGTGAAGTGGGTTTATCATAGCTCCGTTTTATCATCTGATCCATGCTTTTGAGCATGTGAATTTTTTAACGGGTATTTCCTATTTTATATATTCACTTACAATAACAGTCCCTGTGCAGTAGGAAAAATATAACCATTCCTGTTTTTTTCTTATAGTGCGTATGCCATTACAAGTATATGCTGTTTCAACAAACATTTTTATACCATTCTATCTTTAAAGTTTGTAAGCTGAAAAGGAAACAAGCTCAAAGGCAGCTCATCTCTGCAGTTTTTCTTTCTTGCTGTTTTAAGAAGTCATACTTAAATAATGTCATTTCTTATTGAGGGTGGTTCTAAAAATTCGTAAATTTCAGAGGAAATTTAATTATTTTTTTCTAGTTCGTTGTTCACATTCCTGTCGTAGACACTTCTTGTGTTTCTTCTGTCAGCCATTTCCCTCTCTTTTCAAATGTCAACAATCAAAGAGAAACATTTTAATAGGACTGTGTTAAGTAACCCTTACAGCTGTCTGCAAGCAGAGGAATATTTATGACCTGAGTGGTACATAAAGGTGACACAAAAGGAAAATGGACTTTTACTGTGTTTTATCCTTTTTACATCTAAAGGCGACTCAAACTGTTGCTTTATCGTTTTTGTTTTGAATGATGGATTTGGCATTCAAATACCTACAGACTATTTTGTCAGCCTATCAAACAATTTGGAGAAAGAGTTGAGCCTTTACCGAGTCGATACATCCTCTGAAATCTGTGCAACTTCAGGAAAAACAAAGCTATCAAAGATGACATTATATCTGTTTTTAGGCAAAATCAGTGAGGAAACAATATTTTTAATAGTTTTGAGTTCCTGCATGTATCAAGAAGCACAAATGAAGCATGTGTTACTTAATTATATCTGTATATTTTGGTAAGTTTTAACTTACTTCAGTTTTCTACCAGCTTAATTTTGGCAGGGCTTCTCTAAGTAGAAAAACTAGTGGTGAATACTGTTAGGAGAGCCTCAACGTGGCGGACATCAGGACACGGAATATCCTCAGCTCCTGACCAGACAGAGCCTGGCTGCTGGTGCAGTTCCCTGTCCCTAAGTGCAGCGAGCTGCAAGGCTGAGGACATAGCCCCACTGTGCACAAGCGCAGCCACAGCTAACCACAACAGATAGTGCCAACAGGTTTGGGACCAGTGCTGTTACAGGCACCGCCTAAACAAGACTAGCGCTCACATGAAAGTGAAACAACACAAACAGCATGATCTGGTTCTCACTTGCCAGCTAACCAGGCTCAGACCTTGCTACCTGATCTCATACACATATAGACATGAGCATACGTGTGTGCACGCGCACAAATTGAGTCCATGCAAGAGCTGGCCAGACCTATGGTATCTCCATTAGTCCACTGTCAATACCTCTGGCCTCTCCAGTATCTGAATCCTAGACCTAAGGTCTCTTGGACAGCTGGTTCTCACACCTTGTATTCTGTTTGCCATCTAGTCTTGTCTTAAGTTAGTCAGCATCTGACAGACAAAAGGACACCTGGTAGGTCCAGACTTACGGTGCCTCTGGTAGGCAACCCACAGACCTCCAGTCTTTCCTGTCTTTGTCCCCCAGACCTATGTATGATCTCTCTGTAGCTGTCCCTACTGGCAAGCTAGCCTGACTTGAAGGTCACTGGCATCTCTCACGCTCTCATACGCAGAAGGGAAAGCGAACTCATGTGGAAAATACTTCAGAATAAAGTTTAATACGAAGATAAGACAGACTGCAATGCTAAGGCATTGGCTTGGTCAGACAAGCACACTGTTAAAGTTCTTTACTTATATTCCCCCTTCTCTCCATTATTCCATGCCTGTTCTTTTCCATCCACCTTGCCCCATCCCTTTTGCAGCTTTTGTTTCCTCCCCAGTAAACAACGCACCCATAATTACTTTCTGTCCTGCTTTTGCTAAATTTTGTATCTTCAACACCATTATCTAGGTAAGCTTGGCCTTAAGTAGTAGCTCTGATGTGGTTACCTGTGCACCCTGCTGGCCTTGCAAACTCTGTTCCACAAAAAGTTCCCAGTGCTGCCGTCCGGTTGTCTGTGAAGTTTGGCTATCTTTCACGTGATTCCCTCTTAACCATCTGTGAAATCTAGCCATTCCACACAGTGCTATCTAACTTGTGTCTGTTTCTCACAGACAAAATGTTTATGTTTATATTTTTATGTCCAGCAATTTCTCCTGCTATATGCAGTAGTTTCCCATGTGGAAAGTCATCTGCCTGCGTACCTTAACAGACATGATAGTTTGGCATTACGATCTTTGCTGTCTTGAAGACTAGTTTCCAAGTCTGACAATGTGTATTTTCTAGAAAACAATAAAGTGTTTTGGCAATGTTTTACATAGCACTTAAGTATATTGCTTTACTGTTTCACAGGCTCACATTTTCCCGTGGGAGTTGTACCACCCAGAACCAAATCACCAACACCAGAGTCTTCAACAATAGCATCTTATGTCACTTTGAGGAAGAATAAGAAGATAGATCTAAGAACGGTACTTCAAAAAAACCTTCGAGAATTGATGGATAGTGATGTGTTCATTTCTATGTTTAGTTTCTGTAGCCACTTCAAAAGTTGGAGTTATCTTTTTAATTTTCTTTACAAAAAAAATCACTGTTATAAAAATATAACATACTAAGTTAATGGAGACAGCTGTAGAAAGAATGACAAAATTATAAAGTTTGTGTATGTCAAACTGTATAGAGACACTTAAACTGGGCAAGAGCTAATGGTAATGATAAATCTAGTAAGCTACCGAAGTTCAGGTTTGAGTTGAAAGGACATGAGGTATCTTAGGTTAAAACTTTGAAGGACTTGTATTTGACTTCTGGGGCAATTTAGCAGCCCTTGTATAACAAACACTGGCTTTTATTTATTTCATTACTACACTGATTTGGAAAATACCTAAAGCAGCCAGAAAATAAGAATACAGTAGGCAATGTGTGGGTAATAAGCCTGGAATTTCAGATTAGAAAGTCCTGTAGTGTCTGGGTTGAAGACAGATGCTTACACGTAGTTCATGCAAAAGAGAGGAAAACTTTTGCCATAGTTACAGCATGAATAGAAGAGGAGAAGTTGTAGGAGGAATGGGAGAGGAGAGAGAAACTCTCAGGATGTTGACTGGAGAAAGAATACCACTTTTCAGAAGTGAAATCAATTACTCTGAATGTACTGAATGCAGCTGATTAGCCCAAAGTAAAATTTTTTCTGTTATGCCATGCAAAGTACAGATCTATCTGAAAATCAGTGAATTTCAAGTAGTTAGAGTGATTGTTGTTATTTTGGGAATAATATAATGCTTAGAATTACAGATTTTTAAGTGGTGATAAATTCACGTTGTTTCAGCCTTTGCTTGGCGTTAAATGATGTCCAGCTGTAGCTTTTCTTGAAACAGAGAGGCAGAAATCACTGTTAGATCAACGGGTATAAATGTCCTGGATCATTAAATTTCGATTATGTTTCTGTCTCAGTCAAGTAACTTGTGTTTGCCTGTCATTAAACGTCTGGTAAATTGTTACAACTTGATAGGATGGCTTTAAGAGAGCACCTACCCATTCTCTTAATGTTTATCATTGATGGTGGTAATGTCACTGTTCAAAAAAGCAATTTATTTTTTCCTTTTCTTCCTTTTATTTTGAATTCTGGTATTCATTTATTAATAGTTGGTTCTTGTACTTTCTTGACATATATGGGAGATCTTTACTTGACCACTATTTTTCTCCTTTTTAGTAAATCATTAGGTGATCATTTCTGATAAGCTAAACAGTTTAGAATCTTGCTTTTTTGAAAAAAATATGTATATTCTTCCATTTAAGGAAAGACCGAGAAGTGCAGTGGAGCAGCTGTGTCTTGCAGAAAGCACACGGCCTCGAATGACTGTGGAGGAACAGATGGAAAGAATAAAGAGACACCAACAAGCTTGCCTGAGAGAGAAGAGAAAAGGACTCAATATTATTGGCGTTTCAGATCAGTCTCCTTCACAGACTCTGTCATTTGTCAGAGATAATCCATTCAAATTGGCACAGGTGGGTCCCACATTATTTAAAAACTTTAATGTGTCCAATTAAAAAAAAACAAAAAAGTTACAAAATTGTTCTTGTTCCAAACTCACATGATACTGTAGGTGCCTATTTGAGACTGCTTGTGTAGAGTAACACTCGCAATTCTTTGCCAGACACAAGAGAAAGGGAGAAAATCTTTATGCTTACACCTAATGATAGTAGAAGTCACTTCTTTGTCTTTTTGGAAAATAAATAGTTTAAATCTACATATGTTTGATTATGCATTGTGATGTTTGTTAACAGGGTGTTTTTTTTTTTTTCAAACTGAGCAAACATGAGACTGCAAGCTTTGTGACTAAAAGTAGTGTCAGGGAGAATCATGAGTCTGTCGATGTATAAATTATGAAGATTTTTCTGCCATATAATGTATTCAAACATCTGTAACATTTTTAGGTAGGAATGTGTATTAACGATGATAGCTCTTAACTGGTGCTCTTTTGCTGTGGTTTTTGAGCCCATGAAAAGTAGAACTCTCACTTTTGCTTTCACTCATTCTTAAACAGTTAAGGCAAGGAAGTGAGTTTATTAAATGGTTAAGACTGGGGATAGAGAAGGAAGATATAACTGCTTGTCATTAACCAGGAAATACCATCCTGAATATACATTTAAAAAAAAAAAAAACAAAAAAACCCAAACCAACCCAAAACCCAGCTAACAAAGAAAAGATGCCACATCACTTCAGGACAAAAAAATCAAATAGACTCAGAGTAGTGGATGTTAGACAGCCTACTACTTTCTAACTGCTAAGAATTAGTTTTCTTTTTCAGTAGCTTAATGGAGTTACCTTTTTTTCTTTTTTATAATCTTCCAGCATACTTATTTCCTCAGACCACACTGGGTTTTGGTTTGGTGTTTTTTTTGTTTTGTTGTTTTGGTTTTTTTTTTACACTGACATGGAAATGCCTTCTTTTATGTTTTGTACCCATTTTAACATCTGATTTTCCAAAAACCAGATTAAATGCATTGCGCTGCTAAGAAGTCACATATTTCCAAATCAGTTTTAGGTGTGGGGTTGTTTTTTCCTCTGAGCATGCCAAACTGCCTTCAGAGCTATACAGAAGTTACTTCAACAGCATTGGATCCCCAGAAGACACTGAATTCAAGTTTTGCCTTTGCATTTGAGCATCTGTATTTGGGATGACGTCCTGAATGCTATATCCGAAAGGGGGTCCTACAAATTATTTTGTGATTAACACTGCCTTTCCCAAGAAGAGGACGTGCAAAGCAAAGCTTTGCAGATGTTTCTCTGTGTAGTTTTTACAGAGCAGTTTGAGCTTTACCACTTTTCTACGGTATCATTTCATACCTCAAGGTGAGGAAACTGCAGCCATGTACGTGTCATACCTGGTTAGCCGGCACGCGGGGAGCAGAGTAGGGGAAGTGGCCGAATCCTCCGTGCCAGCACTACTTGCTATACAGAACTCAAAAGAATTTTGTTCTTCAGTCTTCTGTGTGGAAACAGTGCTGCATGGATGAGAGAAGAAATGTACAGAATAAATGAGAAGGTGTCTGAATTGAATATTTAACTAGTAGTCTGTGCTAAAAAGTATTTTTTTCTATCACAACTTTAATTCTTCCAGAATGCTATTTGGCCAAAAGTCCCGAGATGAGGTATTACATTATAGTAATAGCTCTTATTTTTAAAAGCATAGTTTCTATGGCTGTTGATTTTTATACAGAAAAATGGTGCAATGGCATTAACTGCTGGAAGTATTTTCGACTGGAGTTTGCTTTTTTAAGAATTGGAGGAAAAAAGGGAATCTATAAACAGCCTACTGTGTAATTTTTAAGTGATTACCAAAATATAAAAGGAAGTTGCTTCACAATTATTATTGTTTGGGACAAGCGTATGATATGGGCGCATACTTTAGTTAGGAAAGTGAAGAGATTGATTTGTGAACTTGCTTACATGGAATTTCCTTTTCATAGAGTGCATGTGCTAAATCACAGGAATTCAGCCACAAGATTTATTACTTTCATAGCTCCTATTTTTCTCTGCCCTATTACTTACTTTGATAAGACTTATATGAACCTCAATTCAGTTCAGTTTTGCTACTTTGCCAACATAACGTTTGCCATTTACGATCTTCAGTCACCTCTACCATCCTTCCTCAAAATTTTTATATCAAATTATTCTCTGTGCAATGAATTTATTTTTTTCTAAGCAATAAGTAATATCCTCTGCCATTATCAGATGCTATGTTGTTCTCTGTTAAATCAGTTAACAGCATAGGCTTGGAAGATACCCAAGATAATTCGACAAAGCGCGTGCAGGTGCACTGTGAATTTTATACTGAGAGCAGACTTTTATCCATGGTGGTTTTTGGGTTTTTTTAACCAGGAAAAGCTATTTAAAAAAAAAAAAAAACAAACATGCTTATGAATGCAAGTAAGAATGCTCCGAAGCCTGTGTGTGACTGAACTACATATGAATGGAATTCCAGAAGATAAAGTTGACTAATTGAAATGCTGGAGATTTGGGGGGGTAGAACGCAGAAAGTACAATAATCTTACAGAGAAAAAAATTATTAGACAGGCTGACTGTTTTGAAAGGTAAAAAAAATAGAAAATTCTAAGTCCTTAACAATTTCCATTTTCTTTATTGCAATGTGGTATGCTTAAGATTTTTTTTAAGTATTTTTTTATCACAGTCAGAGGACAGCTCAAGACTCGGAACTGAGATTTGGTAACATTTTTAAGAATACACCTATGTATCAATTTTGTTCTACAGAATCGAAAAAAGGATGATACTGTCTCTAGTAACATGAAGGAATTAGAGAGCACCAGTAAAGAAAATAATTTGAAAGAAAATAATGAAAGTCCTAGAGAAGAAATAGTGCAACTAAAGCATGATGGAGAACAAGAACATAATTCAGGTTTTACTAAAGAGGTACTAAACTGTCCTTTATTGAACTGTTCGTCAGCCTGTCTTGCAGTAGAAAAATATTTTGAGCTACAGACAGCAGAGTATGGGAAATTGAGCCTGTTCCTTTTGCTTGGAAGATTAAGATATCTTTTTTGGATATAACAAATATTCTATACAGAAGCACAAAATTGTATCACACCTGTCTATGGCTGAGATATAGAATTTTCTTGTATATGGTCTTCCTAAATTTCATTTTACGTAACTTTATCTGTTACTATCTTGATTGGAAAATCACAAAATTACAGTCGTCTTTGTAAACAAAACTGATACTAATGCATCTTTAATAATCGTTAATCTGTTCATTGCTTAGGATGTCCCACTGTAGTTTTTGACAATCATTTAATACACCTTAATTTTGTTTGGTTGGCTTTAGTGCATCAAATAGTTTATAGGAAGCAGAATAAAGCTGACACAACAATTCATACATGGAAGTAGGCAGTGACTGTAGTTTGTGCTGTTTGGTCACGCGATCAATATCTGTCTGGAAATAGGCTCACATTCACTTGGCAGTGAGTTACCTTGGCATTTCTGGTCCTAAGGTGCCCTGGACACTCAGCAAAAGCAGACTGACTGTGAAGAGCAGATTACTCGAGCTGTTTCTACATAATCATATCCTGCTTATAGTTTAATTTGGTTTTTAAGTCTTGTGTAGATTTTTTTTTCTTCTTTTGCTGTCCGTATTCATTAATTAATCACCCTTTGCCTTTCCTTTTCCTCACCCATTTTTCCTTTTGTTTTCTTATTTTATATTTAGCTTTTTTAAACATACGTCTGGTGGGGAATGGCATAAAAACAAATAATTAACATCTGTTGTTACTCCTTAAAAACATCATTTCTGTTGAGTGTCTGTTGCTTTGTTAGGTATGCAGCTCTCCTAAAGGAAAATTATATAATACACTTACATTTGTTATATCTAATCAGACCTTTAAGAGCAGTGTTCAGGCTCATCAACAATATGTTCCAGTAGCTGGAATCTCTGTTGGCGTTCTGAAGAGAGGGATAGCATGAAAAAGTAGGCTGCAATCCAAAGAGCTCAGATAAGTTCTGGAAGTTATTAAGCCAAGCCCTGCCCATTGGCTCTGGTATAAGTATCAGGATAACTGTATTAACCTGAATGGTATTGATAAAAATTTCTTAAGTTATGTAATTCTGAGTTACTAAGTATACATGATGGCAAAATTTGTCTGTTAATAAAACTGTTTCCTGATACTGTATTTCTTATCTACCACTTGGTATGTGTTACAGCTTTTTGTTTCATTATTTCAATTTTTTTATAGCTGACAAAAACTGATGATCTTTTATCAGATGCACATGTTGTATCTGACTCAAAAGAAGTGAATAATGAAGAGAAAGCAGAAAAGGAAAAGAAAAATAAATTGGAAGAAACACATGATGGTGATATAAGGTAAAAATAAAACAAGATGTTCAGAGGCTATTTTAAACTTACACATTGTATTTATTAGCTTAATGGACCAAGCAACTAATGAAATACTGTCGTAAATACTTATAAGGTATATTTATATGTTTTTGAGGGGGTTTACACATAAAGAAATCTAGTGAGAAACCTAACTGCTGTGGGGGTTCAGTAAGAGATAATGAGTTGGTCGGAGGAACAATGTTTATTTTCAAGTGTTGCCCCAGTTATAAACAGAATATGTTCATAATCCTTGCTTTGGGATACAAAATGTGTTTAGTAATGTCAGTTTAAGCTTTGTATCAGTTTATTATGGAAGCTTCAGCCAGGGCTTCCATAGCAAGCTCTTTACCTCTTCTATTTAGGAAAACATCGTATTCAGGAGCAGAATAAACAGCTTATTCTGTATTTCCTGTTTTAACTTTTACTTCACTATTTTGGAGTATTGCAGAATTAGAGGAATATTGTGTCTTGGATATTCCTCTTTAAGGATTCATAACTTTCTTATAAGTTGCACTGCAGATCCTAAATGAGTTCTTACATTAGGTTATAACTTTTTCACAGGACCCTTCAGCAGAATAGATATCACATGGTAGTAAACTGCATGAGTATGTAAAGGAAAGAGATTCAGTTTCCAGTACTACTTTTTTTTTTTTTTAAACATCTAACTTTACAAGGTGGAAGAGTTTCAAAATATGTGCTTAATTTATGTTACACAAACTTGCAATTTGCAACTTTTTTATTAACAGAAGAAAATTAAATAGTAACTCCTATACTTAGTGGTTAACACCTGAAATTAAGTTAGGGTGAGTTCTAAACACTGTGCTTTTTTCAACCAGCTTGCAGACTGTGACCACAGTTACAAACCACAAACCCAAAACCAGCTCAGAAGAAAGTGAAGCAGTTAGTGTTCAAGAACAAGGAGGGATTATTTCTTCATTTGAATTAGCAGCACAGTCTTCAAAAGGAAATCAGGCAACAGCAGGTACAGAAAAGAGTTTGACTGAAGCACAATTTATAAAGTACATATGTAAAACTTTTATTTCATTTTGATCATGTCTTTTGATGCTCTGAAACCCTTGTGAATTGAAAGTGCTGAACTAGTCTAGATGTCAAGTGTATGATTTTATGACATAGAGAAGAACAGTTTCCCAGCAGACAACTACAGAAATTCCATTTTTTCTGAGGTTTTAATATAGATTTTATGGTTCCATTTAATTTGCGGAATTAAATAACTATTGCCAGAAATTGAGTCATACCATAGTTGTTGGTTGGAGCAAATCATTCCGTACTCATCTTTTAGAAGAGCATCTCAATCCTGGATATGTATGGATTATTTATCCTTACCTCCTTGCTAACGGATGGCCTCAGGTATGCCCAATATTGAGGAATCCTTGCGAGTTTCCAATATATCTAGCAGATTTTGAACTAGTAAGTAAAAGACCCCAGTTTGGTCATGATTTCAGGAGTAAGAAAAGGTGGAGAAATAGAAAACACTAGCTGCCCGGTAAAACGACTGGTGGTTTTCTACTTTGCAGGAAGAGAAGGCTGGAGTAAAGCTGAATTGTTTGCAAAGACAAAAAAGGACGGGGGGGCGGGGGTGTTTACGGAAGGAGGAAGGAAGAAGATAGAATTTAAGACATTTTTAGGATATTTGGTGATGGGAATGGTTAAATAAGCCAACTGGTTCAATTTATGGATATAAAAGGTGACCTAAACCGTTGTAGTGCAGTCAGCAATCTTTTCTGAGACTTAATAATCAAAACCAGAACTCGTAAATACCTTTTATAGTGCTGAGTAGAATAAAAAATGCTTAGTTAATCTGAGCTGGGATATAAAGGTGGGTCTGGGTGCATGCCAACTATTTAAATTTTACTTTTTTTTTTTTTTCGTCTCCTTGCAATCTAAATAACACATCAACGTTCATGTGCCTGTTGTTTATTCCTTAGGTGTTCTACTAGTCATTTATAGCCCTGAATAATGATCTTTCTTGAGAACATCTATGCTCTCCCCTGAACTTGCGCTCATTGTGCTGATCAGATTTTAAGTCTTTACTTACGTAACATTCATTTGGTTCTGCTTATATTTATTATGGCTTAAAATGGTGATTTTCAAGTTTATATTTATTATGGCTTGAAATCATGACTTCTGTAACTTGTATTCTTACTTATCTTGCTGTATGACTTGCAGTGAAAAGTTTGCCTTCTTCACCAGAATCGTCATTGTCACCAGCTCCATCTACACAGACACAGCTCACAGAAGGATCACATTTCATGTGTGTATAGTTACAGAGAAGTACGTCTTTTTTTCCCACCCTCCTGCCATTTTCCTAATATTTTTCTAAGTATATGTATTCTAGTTATTTTTCTGAGAAACGTCTGTAGACAATACTTGGCAAGACAAAGTTATCTGCAATGTCAAATATAAACTAACTAGAAAACAAAACAAATGCATGTATTGATTTGCTTGCCAGTAATTTATTCTCTGTCCAAATACAAAGAGAAAGGACTAATTGGCTTATCAAGCACATTCTCCACAACTGGCAAGATAATAGCCCTTTGAATTACATGAGAGACCTAAGCTGTTACAGAACAGATACCCAGTTAAGGTATGAGCATCAGTGCTTAGGTGCAAATGACTATTGATGCTTCAGCCTTGGTAATAGGCACCTACAGCTAGATCTAGTGATGCATAGGAGGGAATGATCTAATGGCCCAAAGAGTTTATGGCTTAAGACATAGATGACTGAGGAATGACAAACAGCAAGGGAAACAATAAGGGCGGAAGAAATGTAACAATTACAGAACTTCTTTTTTCCTTTCTTGCTATAGAAATAGCCCCTGCACAGCTTCTCTTCCCTTGTCAGAGTAGGTGATTTCTTCTAGGAATAAGTTAGAAAGCATGAGTTAGGCTAGATTTACATGTTCCTACCTGTAGTGTTACCTACTTAATGAATGGAGATAGAAATAGAAGTAAGCATATTTGTTTATACAAGTGTTTAAAAAAATTAATAGGATACCAGTGTGACTGTTTCAGCATTTTACCAGCATTTACATCAATCTACATTTCTTTGTTGTCAGGAAGTACCTGTTTAAATAAGCTTTCTACTGAAAGATTGAACTTAGTTTCAATAGTAATGTTAAATGCTGTAGCTAGTGTAACTTAAGAAAACTTTAAAATCAAGAAAACTTTAGAAAAAAAAGGGAAACAGTCATTTAGCATGAGGAGATCTGAAAATGCATCCCCCCCACCCCTGTTTACTCTCCCAATCTGTATTGCCAGGCTTTCGTCTTAGCAAAATTAGACTTATTCATCACAGGCACCTTTCTTGTATGAGCTATGGCCAGGAAACTATTTATTGTCTTAAAAAAAAAAGAAAAAAAAGGGAAATTATTTTCATCTTTTTTCTCCTTTTGAGAGAGCGGAAAATGCACTCTTTACATTCAGTACTGACACCTAACACCCGTGTTGCTGGCTTCCTGATGGATGTGGTCTGTCATGATTAGATTTAGCTTGGACTTCTGTAATTTTATTCAAAGGTTTTATTACAGAACTATTTAAAAAAGATAAGTGGGACTATTTGTTTTTTTCTGGAAATACTGATTTGTGTTAATTTTTTCACTTTTGCTGTAAAAATACACACACATTTATCATGCATCTTTTTAAACAGGACAAACATTACCCCATCAACTCAGTTTCAGGTCAGTAACGAAGCTGAAACTGCACTGCTGAATTCTGTCTACAGCCACAGCACGCATGTCTTGAAAGGGGAAGCAAGCTATAATGTCACCAGAAATTTTTTACCAATCGCATTAAGTTGCTTTCAGCTCTTGTCATCAGCTCCAATGATCAGATCAGCAAATTTTTTTTTTTTTTTTAAGTATTTATGCTAAATGTGAGATTAGCAAGAGTGAAGTGCTTATGTAGTGATCTGCTTTGTAACTTAATGCCCAAGCCTCGACATCCCACAGCACGGTGTATCCTCATAGGTAATACTGTAGCTGTAACATTTCCATGTTAAGTACGGTTCTACAAATAGGCCTTAATTGCTTATGACAAAACAGTGCATCTGGGATGGCACTTGTAAAAACTAATACTCTGCTTACACATGCCTCGCTATAATGAAGCAAGGATTCCAGAACTTAAAAGACCAGCCCTTTTGGCTGTTTAGTGTTTGAATTGAGTTGGGAAAAGTATTCAGCTGTGTGCATATACATTGCACATTTCTTTGCTGCACTCAGTGCCTCTGTTGGTTGTTTCCTAGGAGCTCCAAAACAAGTTTGTGCCGCGAGCTGGGCCTAGTGTAGGTAGGAGATATGTGAAGCGTGGTCTGCTTGCCTGCAGCATTTACCGCCCCTCACCTCATGGGACTGCCCTTCCAGCATTCCAGTGTCTTGCGCTTTGCTGAAAGATAGGTCTTTTAACGAGCAAGAGCTCAAGTGTCTCTCAGACGCAAGAAGTGCTGTGCAGCGGAGGGAACTTCAGAGCTGCAGGACCAGCCCTGTTCATATGCAACCAAATTTTTCAGGCAGCATCTGGAAAATGTATGGTAGATTTCAGAGAATAATGAGGTAATACCTATATTTGGCTTTTACGGTCAATTAGTAAAATGATACTCTTGGCACGATGCCAGGGGAATTTAGCATAGGAAATTGGTGGCATAGGATATTGTAGGACTAAGGAAAAACCCATTAACCCAAAGCCATTTTCTTTGTCACGGCTCTTGCTTTGCAGAGACAAATCTGGATGTGTACCGCTAACATTGTTACGTTTTAAGCATTGCATTTACACTGAGTAATGGAGGGATAATGACATTTTATACAGCACCTGGATCAGAAAGCTTAGAAACATTTTTACTACCGACCTGTTAAAAGCTATTTATACAAGTCCTTTCAGCAGTTACCAAGATGCAGCAAGCTCTGGGTGGAGCACTTCAACTTCAGAACACCTTACAGCTATGCTGCCATTGCAGTGTAGCAACTGAACGATACTACATCCCTCTTGAAACCGTGCCTGTCATTTGTAAGAGCGATTAGGGTCTTTGCTATTATTACCGCTTTTATATAAAGAACATTTGGAAATGGCCATGTGCAACATGATAAAACTCTCAGAATAAACAGACTTTCATATGAAGTTGTGTAAATTGGAAGAAAGCTTGCTTTTGCTTCTTGCTGTCAAATTATCTTGACAGCAGTATTATTCATCAGGAAAATCGATTTTGGAAACAACTGATTTTTAAAATACTTTATTATGTTCTACACCATTGACAACTACTGCTAGGATGAGGTCAGAAATTCCTTGCTGTGTTTAATCCTAGGAGTTGCTTTATACGATATTCCGTTGTTGCTAAAATAGAGTAACTTAATCTATGTCTGTCTTTCAGCACTAATGGCTTCTGTTGAAACAATTCATGCCTGAGATGTATGGACCTGACCTATGAAAATATGAGAAGATGTTGTACAGTATATTTTAAATCTATGAAATTCATAGTTCTGATGCTTTTGGCCACAGAGCATCATTTTATCACTTCCTGGAAAATGTTTATTCCAAGAGAGCTTTAAATGGCCCACATGTACACTCAACAACCTTCAGATTGTTCTCCTGATACCAGCTTGCTGCTATGATTTCTGTGCACATAAAATAAAGGTTCTTTTTCATGTGCAGCCTACAGTCAACTTTATTTGATATTCTCCAGAATTTAATGTTCTTTTAATTATGGATCATACAAGTTTACTTTTTTGCTTCTTTTAGATGCATAACTCGGTTAATCTTACATATCACCACTAAACTTGTTTTACACTTTTTAAATGCTACAACTTATTGTTTTAACATTCTATTTGTAAAATTTTTATATATATACATATAGGTATATTTAAAATGTGCCATTTTTATTATTGCTTAGTCAAATATGTCAAGTTTCTGCTGTAATTATTTCTTGGTCAGGTTGCAATGTCAGCAGTTACTGCCACACTTCTGTCAACATATACATTAATGTTAGTGGTTACTTTTTCTTAAATAAAATGGAGTGTAGGTATTTTGAGGTACTGGGCTTTTCCTTCGTTGGGTTAGGGTGTGTACAGCAATAAGCAGGTTTTCAATCCAGTACTTAGTTTGTGTACAAATGTAATTATGTTCATTGTGTATATATTATACAATGAGCACATACGATGTAAGTATAAGAAGCCACTTATTATTGTTCAAATACGAATGTTCATATCCCATTTCTTTTATATCATATTAAATAAATGTTGATGTTCTTAAGGACTTGTATGGTTAGTATTTCTTCCAGCAAACAGATGTCACACTGTGTTCCACCTTTTGATGTGGGGAATGCAACAATTCTTATCTCATTGGCGACACCACCTGTCAACCAGAGTAGCAGTGACAGACTCTTAAGAGACTCCAGTCTTCCTCTACGGGAAAGAATAAGGCTGCAACACAGAACAAAAAGACAACCCGAGACCGAGACGCAAGAAATACAGGTTCAGCTCCTGCCTCTCCCAGACTTGTACTGTGATGTTGGAATAATCACTTAGTCATTCTGTGCCTCCATTCCCTGCCTGTTTACTTGAGAGGTAATAGCCTGTCTTACGGGGGTGTGGTGAGTAGTAATTCAATATTTGCAAATGTTGAACGCCACGTTCAGTGGGGTTAAGGAGAGAAGTATGATGATTCCTTGAGGCTTTGACATCTGCAAAGCATCTTCCAGAAACTGAAAGAAAACCTGAAATAATTTGTCAAGTGTCATCATACTACAGATGTTACTAGCTTCACTGTTCCATCTCACACATCTGTCTGAATTTGCCTGAGACAAAAGAGGTTGAGAAAAGACCCATGAAAAATGGAAAGATTTAAGGGGAAGCTTTTGAATCTAGGATGTAAAGCTAGGAAATCTTTTAGAGGTTCAGGCAACTGCTGTGTGCTTCGGTGCATGTGTGTGCCATAAGTAGTAAGGCAAGTTTCATAAGAAGACGACTGGCAGCTCCTGTTGTGCTTTTTTATCATACAAATCATATCCTGTTCAAGTTAATATTGCTGTATTGGAGCCTATATACTTGATTGTGCTTTTCCATAGAGGAGTGCCTGAGAGATTGACACACAGTTTGAAATTACCTCTTTATCATTACCCCCCCTAAATATGAGGTTGTGTTCGTTGCACTCTTCTGCCACTCCCAGATCTTCTGCCAGTTCTTCCTGGGGCTCTTTGCCATAGAGCATGCTGTCTGTCTACCTGTTGTTTTGCCATTTTCTTTGAAAAGTGAAGAAATAGGAAGCAAGAATGAGCAGCAGAGCTTGGAGGGACTTCATGGCTGAAGGAAAGAAACTGAATCATGATGCAGGCAGACAGCATCCAGCTGAAAGTTTGACCAAATAGCCTTTCTTCTTTTTTTGGAACAGTAGCCCCAAATTAGTGCATCCTTCCATCCAAAACATAGAGCAAAGAAGAGGAATGTGATGTTTTTTTTTTATTGCTCAGCCAGCTGAGATTTAAGTTCAGTGGCATCACTGGAACACCTGGGGCAAAGCAAATAGGACGCACCCTGTTCTCTCCCTAACCCTTCCAGAGAGAGCTGCTCAGCTGTCAAGCTGTGCAATCTCTTTCTGTCCTTGCTGCCAAGAAAAGAATTGCAACCAATAAAGGAAAGAATGACTAAGTGGTTTTTGGACATTTATAGATCTTGTCTGTGTTTAAAGCAGTTGTCAGTTTGGTATATCTGTGAAATATGTGCAGTTTATACTGAAGCTGGGGGAGGGTGGGAGAATTAGCAAGTTTTTGCTGGTATAACTGTTGGCAAAGACAGTAAACGTAAATGATGCAGGAATGTAGTAATGCTCATAGACTATAATTTCACTTTCTGTGGGCACTTGCAGGAAAGACTTGCAGTTTCATAGGGTGCTCTATTTTTTTGTGTCTTATGGGAAAAATGTATGGCTTTGTGTTATCACAGAGCATCTACCGTCTCTTACCTCATCAGAATAACACATCCCAGTGATCATACTCCTGAGGTATAGAAATATCAGAATACTGATATTGTCAGCCTTCCAACATCTATTTTAAGTTTGTATCTAGGATATTTTTATATTTCTGACTGATTGCTGTATTGGCTATTGCACTGACACTTGTATATATGGAACATGTGCTTTTTTTCAAAAGCAAGAGTCCTTAGGAATAATGCAACACATTCTCTACAGATGTTCATGCTTTTCAGAACCAATTACATCTATTTTTGTCTTTTGTTCACCAGAGAATGTGATTCTTTTAAGTCCCATAATAAAGTGACATTACTCAAAAAGTTATAGTTGGTGTCTTGGCAGTTTTTGTATGTCGTGGACTGGCTCAAAGAGAAAGACCTCACCAGGCAGTTGAAACCTAAACCCTGTTTATATTATTACTGAGGGGGGAAAGTAGTCTTCAGTTAATATTTCCTCGTAAATAGATCTGTCATAAAATGAATCCAATAAGGTTCTATTTTCAGGAAATCGGAAAGAATTTGAACAGTTCATTGCTATCTAAATCACTTTAATTGGACAGTCTGGGAAAGAATTATTACCCACCCTATTGGATCCACTAGATGTAGTAACCAGGAGTTACATACATGAAAAACATTAATGGATTACACTGTTAGTAATAGATCTACTAAATTCTCTAGTTTTTGGATTGGTGGTTTAAGTTATATCCTGGTTTAGTAAAGCAGCAGAGTGGAAGATCTTTAACCAGTGCTGGTGCTGGATAACTCTTGCTCCAAAGTTTTCATTATATTGTAACAATAGGGTGGTTTCTTCTTCCTTTTCTAATAAAACAAACCATAAACAGTACTCAATCAGATCTCAGAATTGGGTCATCATGTCTCTTCTGCACAATGTTTTTTTGTCCCTGTGATCCTGGGTTTTGCTATACTTATTTTCTGAAGTTATTCAAGGGTAGTTTAATCTTATTCCAGTTTGAATCCTCAGTTAAAATGTTATTTTCCATCCTTTGGAAAGTTGACATTTAAATGGCCAATGAACAAATTGCCTATACCTGGCATTAATAATGTATCTGAAACAACTTAATTTAACTTTTTTAAGGATGCACGTGAAGATAACAAAGCAACATCTGGCCTTCATTTCTTCTAAAGAACATTATATACACTTGCTGTTATATCCTTGGAGCTGTTTAGCTTGTCCATATGGGAACACTGAAGAAGCTGCTACAAAATAAAATGGAATATACTGGTGGCTGAAAGCAAACGTCTGGCCCAAAATGAAGGCTGAAAGCAGCTGCTTTCTGAACTTGACACGCACAACTTGCTATCCAGCTGTTCCAGATGTGTCAGTATTCAAATGTTACTTGTGGAATGAAGTTTTGGGTATTTTTTGTGATGTTTCTTCATTCTGTCCTATGCCAAAGAAAATGTTTTTAAGGTCTGTCTAAATACTATCTAGCCGTTGCTGTGAAACTGCAAGCCACTCTTAATTGTAGCTATGGGTAAGTAACATCACGGCAGTGGTTGATAATTGACTCATGTGGCAGTCTTGCTAGGGATGTGTTTAAGAACACTTATTTAGGGTGAGTTAGGTTCCGTTTGGAATGAAAGAAAAAGCTGTAAGCAAATGGTGCTGTTTCCAGTGGACTGCTGTAGAGTATATCAGGACAAAAACAGATGTGATCTCATTAACTTCTTTATTGCTGAAACCAAACCTAAAATAAGGAATTAATTTTTTGTCAAATTCTATCCAGATCCCTGTTCGATGGAAAAGGAATACTTCAAAGAATTTCAGACTAAAAATGGAAACACCCTCTTCCTCTTTTGAAGGTGAAATGAGTACTGTTTAAAAAAAAAAAAAAAAGGAGGGGAAAAAAAAAAAAAAAAAAGGAAAGCAAACCCCTGCAGGTTTCTTTTTATATGTAGAAGAAGCAAGATTTACTTAAGGCCTAGAGAACTGGTCAATGAAAACTTTCAGAAAAATACCTGATCCTCATCTGTTGGCATCTGGTAGTTTTTCTGAATCACGGTGAAGTGACTGGCACCGCCCAGGACTCTTCTGCAACTTTAAATCCACTCCAGCTCTATGTGTAAAATATTCTGCATTCCTCGTATGGAGAAAAAAATGCCTTATCCGTACAACAGCTGTCTGTCCCTACATAAGCAGCTGAATCCAGGCCATCAGTTTCTTGCTTGAAATCCCTAAAAACTGCAGGTGCTTAGCATCTTGAAAGATCAAGCTCAAAGCATACCATGTGAGGCAGCCAACATTTCACAGTAACTTACATATGAATCTCCCTTATTTTCAGCAATAGATTCTATTTGGAAGAAAAAAGATTTTGGGTTTGGTTTTGGTTTTGTTTTTTCTTTTTTCAAAGTACTAATCACATTGCTTAGGAATCAAATAATTAGTAGGTATAAACAAATATATAATTTATTTGAGAAAATTGTCATTAATTGACAAAAGTATGTTTCAAAGTGATTGGAAAAAAGCTACTAAATTCAGCAACTCTCAATTCATAAAAATCACCTCTTCACAATATGAATTTCTGCTGAGTTTTGACACTGATTACACGTGTAGTTGACTGCTCTGTATTGTGCAACTTTCTTCTTGGTGAAATCCCAAGTCAGCAAGAACGTGGAGGCTGTTTCAGATGTTATAGCTTTAAAGATGAATGATTTTAAATTTTTTTTTAATATTTTCATGCTCATCCACCAATCTTGGAAACAGGTGATAGTGGCTATTGCATTTATTCTTTTTATACACGGAAATGGTCATATCTAGACAAACAGAAAAAAAACAACTGAGCTTTCTGATTAATATTTTCTCATATTTGTGACTGCTGCTATTTCATGTTTGATTTCTGGCTGCCTGGAGACTGTCTCGGAGAGTTTACGCGTGCAAGGGCTGGTACTGCAGAGAAACCAACTTGTGTATGGGTGAGGACTAGCTGAAGGTATCATTTCGTGAGCTAGGAGATTGCCTGGAAACCTGGGATTGTTTGATCTAAAGCACCTTTGAATAACATTTTTTGCTGTTTCCTTAGCCTATGCCAACATAGCTACAATATTTTCTATCTACTGTTTCTGGTACATTGTGCCTACAAATAATAAATATTTTTAATAAAGATAGAAGTGCCTGGATAATGTGTGAGATCCTGATTGCTATTTACAAGGTAGCAGTTACTAATTAAAGAACCAGCCTCTTAACCATTTAGGAGATTGTGTTAATGAAGAAGAGTTGGTTAATACTCAAATGAATTGCAATGTTGGGAAAACACACTTGCTTATATCAACTGATTCTTTGGAATACGGGGCGGGGGGATAACTCTGAACTCACAGCAGTTTATTTTAAAACTTTCATTTCATAAAGCTGTTCCATACTGTGTGATCAGCTAAATATAATCCAGCTAAGCTCCTCTACATTTCCATTATCCAGAATTTAGGACAAGGAAGAACAGAGGTCATGACATTTTGATCATTTTTGCCTCATTAAAATCTTGTGGACCCCAAGGAGCAGAGTTAGGTCATGTTTGTAAAAGGTAGGAGTCTAAAGCCTTGCTTTGAGTCATGCCTATTTGAGAGAAGTGCTCTGCACGAATTACCATACAGCTTTCCCCGTCTGTCTGGTTCCGGGCTAGACCACTTCTGTTATTTTACCTTTGAACAGAATCCCTAACTTTCACAACAT